AATAAATGAGTATATGTGGGTTTTATAGGCTCTAAGGGTGAGTATGAGAGGTCCCCAGTTTCATTTTGATCAGATTTCATTTTAATCTGTGACAGTTAATATATAAGTTAATCTAAGCTAACAAAAAAAACAATGTAAATTAAAACAATAAAAAAATTCAGAGTCAACCATATATGCATATTACATTTTATAGTTTGAACCAAATACATCGTAAACCAACATAAAATCTAAGCTATAACATTGTCAATTGTTATCTAATACATAGTTACGCATTAAGATTCATTTTCTGATTTACAGATAGCTCGATTATGTCCCTTTTGGCCACATTTTTGACATCTTTTTCTATTATCTTGAATTGGTTCACCAGATTGTAAAGTTATATTAGATGACTGGATATTAGTATCAGTACGTTGACGTTTTCTTGTATATGATTCTTGGATTTTAATAGAACTTTTTGCTCTACCGGGAGGTCTTCCTTTTCTAGGAGAGAAAATGTGATTTGTGATTGTGATTGTTTTATCTTTGTTATCCTTATTTAATTGTTTGCTAGAAAGAAATTGTTGGCATAATCCAATTAACTCATTATATAAGTTGGTGCTAATAGCAACGTCAATAGCTTTTTTCATCAATCTATATGCATAACCATATCTCGATCAGGTATTATTGATATTCTGAAGTACTGGTGTATATAACTCATCCCCCTGAAATTGCATTAAATGTTCGAGATTGAACATTGAATTAGTAGTAACATAATTAACAGATGATGATTCCATATACAATAAGATAGGTTCATGCTGTGTTAAAAGATCTTGGTTGTTCTTAATCTTATTATCTCTATACCACAGTTTTGATACCAGACTGATATGCCATTGGGCATGTGAAGAAGTTCGAAGAACCTTGTAAAAATGACAGTATGGATAACTATGTGTAATTAATATATTACATGTACATCTGTATAAACCATCTAAAATTAATACCACAAAATGATATTTTGTACTGCATAAAAAATTAAGATGCCAAATTTCAAGGATCTTAGAGCTTTCAATTGTTTTTAAAATGTTGGTTAATAAAATTTGCGTCAATTTATAGTCATCTTCACGTGCTCCATTGTTTATATTATCATCTGAGTGTATCTAAATGAAAAAAAATATAATTATGAAAGAGAAAAATGCTAATAACTTGTGATATACTTAACGATTATTACTCTTTAACTGCAATTTACTTAAGTGACTAAATGACTTACCCTTTCAATTGAGCTCCAATCAGTAATATCAAGTTTATAGGCATCATAAAAAAAACATTCATGCATTTGTTTACGAACATTTATTGACACTGGTTCTATAAGGTATTCATTTACAATGGGATCCAAAGATTTAAAAAAGACTTTTGGTATAGTTGCAAGTCTGACAGTTAGTATTTGATGCTTGTATTCCTCTACCCGAGCATATTCCACTTCTCTATCAAGCACATCCTGAATTTCTTTAACTAAAGTAATTAAAGAAGAATTTGCCCTAATACTATTGTGGATTTTTTTATTAAAACCTTCAACTCGCTGTGTACTATTTGCTCCAGTGGTAAATTGATTGTTGATGTAGCAAATAGCCCATTTCATTTTATTAGATTCAAGCTGGTGTCTAATATAACTGGTAGCAACTGGATATGTTGACTTGAAAGACTCAAATCTATTTTCAAAAATATCAACCACCAGCTTATTTCAACATGTGTAAAACTCCTTACAGAATTCATTGAATTGAACAGTACCTATCTTATTCCTCAAGTTTTTTTTTAGGTTAAGGTCAATATAAAACAACATAAATAATGCAAAGAGTTTGGAAATTTGGTAAAAATTGTATTTGACATTGCAGAGTCGGAATCAGTATAAACCACCCATGGAGCCAAGTTACCAGTACATTTGTTGATCATACTAAGAGCCCAGGTAAAACTGTCTTCAGTTTCATCTTCTAACAAAGCGGCTGCAACCAGACGAGTACGATTACAATTGTTAATGGCTACAAAAAAACATACAACTATATCATACTTATTAGTACGTGATGTGGTATCAAAAAAAATGATATCATGAAACCTTGTCCAAATAAATTGTTATTCCGGAGAAAGCCAAATAAGGCTGCACAATCTTTATTCTGGACCATCAAATCATGCTTCTATGAACCATCTTGGGTCATCAGTCTTGAGGTTATATAGGTATGATAGAAGATTAGATGCATCCAATTCATTTTTAAAAGACAATTTTTTTTTGGCATTTTGTATTGCGTTATATAGATTTTTTTGATATATTTTTTGATCCAGAAATTTGCTCTTAAGAAGTTGTCCTATGCTACATGCTCCAGTCATACCATGTGTCACACAAAAATCAACAAATTCTAACATATCCTTATCAATCTTACGATAACTTGCAATTGTGGTTGATAGTGCAGGCGATATTGGATGATTATGTGAATTTACAACTGTTGTAAATGTGACAACTGAAGAAGACTTAGGCATATTACAGTTCACTCACCATTCACATTCTGAACTCTTTGACTTACAATTTTTTTGATTTTCCAGATTTAAAACCTTTTTAGGCTTATATTTGCCAGCATAGCCACATTCCCAACTAACTTTGCACAAAACTTGTATACCATCTTCAAGACATAACTCAGTACGTCTTTTTCGAATACTAAAACCTTGTCCCAATCCGTATTGTTTTAAAAAGGCTTCAGCATCATCCCACATTTGAAAAGTTTGTCTACTATAAATAGCTGGCATTGGTTTATTTTCTTCATCAGAAGAATCATCAAAAATTTTAATCACATCAGATTCATAAGATAAATTTACAGGTGATGACTCTTTTTCAACTAATTCATTTTTAAAAGAAACCCAATTTTGCTCTTCAGATTCATAAGTTAAATTTACAGGTGATGACTCTTTTTCAACTAATTCATTTTCAAAAGAATCCCAATTTTGCTCTTCAAATTCATAAGATAAATTTACAGGTGATGACTCTGTTTTAACTAATTCATTTTCAAAAGAAACCTGATTTTGCTCTTCATTACTTTGCAGTAAATCCATAAGAGTATAATAACAAAATGTTCAAACTGTTTAATATGCACAAAACTTTTTTTAAAATTAAGTTTCTCAAATTATTTAATAGAATCTGACAGAAGATTGCAATTTTAAACTAATAGATACAACAAAGTTTTTGGTGATGGAAGAGGCACAGGTGATAATAATAAGGATATAACTTTGGTTATGTGTATAAAAAAAAAAAAGGTAAAGTAACTATTATGTAATTTTGCAATGCTATAAGAGATGGTAGTTCTGCCAAAAATAAAGTAAAAAGTAATTAGTTAGAAATTCAAATACTTAACTTCATAAATACGCAACTTCTTAATTAATTAACAAGTGAATATCGCAAATTCAACTTTTAAGTAGAAATATCTTTATAAGCTTTTACGAATAAGTCACGCAAAAAAAATACTTTATATAAACAAAGCTATTTTAAAGGTACTATTATTTAGCGAAGAAATTTACTTAAGATATTCTTGTAGCCGGGTAGAAAAAAATTTATGTTCGTGCAGGTTTGCTTTTATTTATATTGATTGCATAGCAATAGTAAATAATGATCGTGTTGCACAAAAACTACAATTGACTATTTCTTTTTATAACACACAATATAATTACGTACATATATACATATGTACAATATACCCTGTATATATAATTAAACTCTGCAAACCTGTTATTACTGTTACATTTACGTTGATGCACATATCATGTGATTAACCAGGAGATTTCTCCTCCAAGTAAGCTTAGTTATTTTCTAATAAATATATATTCTATTTTAAAAACAAGATCAGGATTATAAAGTAAAGTAGTGCTAAAAAACAAAGTCAATACTTAAAATAAGTAAAACAAGACCAAATTATAAGCAGTGCTAAAAAAAAGCTAAAATCAAATTTATAAACAGCATCAAAAAAAAGATCTAATGCTTAAGGTAAATAAAACCAAATCAGAGTTATAAGAGCATTAAAAAAAAGAGCCAAGATCAGAATTATAAAAAGTATTAAAAAAAAATTCAATGCTTAAAGTAGATAAAACCAGACCAAAATAATAAGCAATACCAAAAAAAAAGCCAAGCCCAAAATTATAAGTAGTGCCAAAGAAAAGATCTAATGCTTAAAGTAGATAAAATCAAACTAGAGTAATAAGCAGCATCAAAAAAAAGAGCTAAGACCAGAATTATAAGCAGCATCACTTAAAATGGTAAAACCAAACTATAGTTATATGCAATACCAAAAAAAAAAGCCAAAATTAAAATTATAAGCAGTATCAAAAAAAAGATCTAATACTTAATATAGATAAAATCAGACCACAGTAATAAGCAGTACCAAAAAAAAAGCAAAGACTAGAATTATAAGCAGTGTCAAAGAAAAAACCCAATACTTAAGATAGGTAAAACCAAACCAGAGTTATATGCAGTGCCAAAAAAAAGCTAAAACCAGAATTATAAGCAGTATCAAAGAAAAGATCTAATACTTAAAGTAGGTAAAACCAGATCAGAATAATAAGCAGCACCAAAAAAAGAGCCAAGACCAGAATTATAAACAGTGCCAAAGAAAAGATTCAATGCTTAAGATAGATAAAACTAAACCAGAATTATAAACAGCATTAAAAAAAAAGGTAATACAAAAACAAGACCAGAGTTCTAAGCAGCAACAAAGAAAAGAGCCAATACTTAAGGTAAGTAAGAACAAGATTAGAGCTATAAATATATCAAAGAAAAAGCCAACACTTAAGAAAGGTAAAACAAGACCAGAGTTATAAATAATGCCAAAAAAATCTAATACTTAAAAGAGGTAAGAACAAAATCAAAGTTATAAGCAGTGCCAAAAAAAAGAGCTAATGTTTAAGAGAGGTAAGAATAAGATCAAAGCTATAAATACACCAAAAAAGATTAAATACTCAAGAAAAATAAGAACCTACAGTTATAAGCAGTATTAAAGAAAAATCTAATATTTAAGAGAGGTAAGAATAAGATCACAGCTATACACAGCTTCAAAAGAAATTTAATGCTTAAGGGAGATAAGAACAAGATTATAGCTATAAGTAGTGTCAAAAAAAAGAGCCAATGCTTAAGAAGTTAAGAATAAGATCAAAATTATAAATAGCACCAAAAAAATCTAATATTCAAGAAAGATAAGAATAAGACAGATATAAGCAGTGCCAAAAAAAATTCTATTCTTAAAGAAGGTAAAAATAAGATCTTAGCTATAAGCAGTACCAAAAAAAAATCTAATGCTCAAGAAAAGTAAAAACAATAAACAATGCCAAAATAGAAATCTAATGCTTAAGGTAGGTAAAAATAAAATTACAGTTATAAGCAGTGTCAAATAAAAATTTAATGCTTAAAGAAAGCAAGAACAAAATTACAGTGCCAAAAAAAATTTAATGCTTAAGAGAAGCAAAAACAAGATTACAATTACAAGCAATACTAAAAAAAATCTAATGTTTAAAGAAGATAAAAACAAGATCACAGTGCTAAAAAAACATCTAATGCTTAAGAGAGGTAAAAACAAGCTCAAAATTACAAGCAGTTCCAAAAAAAAATCTAATTCTTAGAAGAGGTAAAAACAAGATCATAGCTATAAGCAGCTTTAAAAAAAATTTAATGCTAAGAGGAAAGAACAAGATCACAGTTACAAGCAGCACCAAAAAAAATCTAATGCTTAAATAAAGTAAAAACAAGATCACAGCTATAAGCAGTGTCAAAAAATTTAATGCTCAAGAGAGGTAAAAACAAGATTACAGTTATAAGCAGTGCTAAAGAAAGAGCCAACGCTTAAAAAAGATAAGAGCAAAATCAAAGCTATAAGCAGCACCAAAGAAAAGTGCAAACGCTTAAAAAAAGTAAGACCAGAGCTATAAACAATGCCAAAAAAAAGAGCCAATGCTTAAAGGAAGTAAGAGCATAAACTTATACTACTATACAATGTTGAAATTCAAAAAATTAATCAACACTATTCAACATTTGCTTTTATATTTAACATTGGCTTTTGCATTTGATATTAGCTTTTGTATTTGATATTGGCTTCCACATTTGATATTAGCTTTTACATTTGAAATTGGCTTTCATATTTGATATTAGCTTTTGTATTTGACATTGGCTTTCACATTTGATATTGGCTTTACATTATATTCAGTATTAGTGGTGCAGATTAATTTCTTAGATTTCAACATTGTATAGTTAATATAAGTTTTTGCTCTTACTTCCTTTAAGCATTGGCTCTTTTTTTTGGCATTGTTTATAGCTCTGGTCTTACTTTTTTTAAGCGTTTGCACTTTTCTTTGGTGCTGCTTATAGCTTTGATTTTGCTCTTATCTTTTTTAAGCGTTGGCTCTTTCTTTAGCACTGCTTATAACTGTAATCTTGTTTTTACCTCTCTTGAGCATTAAATTTTTTGACACTGCTTATAGCTGTGATCTTGTTTTTACTTTATTTAAGCATTAGATTTTTTTTGGTGCTGCTTGTAACTGTGATCTTGTTCTTTCCTCTTAGCATTAAATTTTTTTTAAAGCTGCTTATAGCTATGATCTTGTTTTTACCTCTTCTAAGAATTAGATTTTTTTTTGGAACTGCTTGTAATTTTGAGCTTGTTTTTACCTCTCTTAAGCATTAGATGTTTTTTTAGCACTGTGATCTTGTTTTTATCTTCTTTAAACATTAGATTTTTTTTAGTATTGCTTGTAATTGTAATCTTGTTTTTGCTTCTCTTAAGCATTAAATTTTTTTTGGCACTGTAATTTTGTTCTTGCTTTCTTTAAGCATTAAATTTTTATTTGACACTGCTTATAACTGTAATTTTATTTTTACCTACCTTAAGCATTAGATTTCTATTTTGGCATTGTTTATTGTTTTTACTTTTCTTGAGCATTAGATTTTTTTTTGGTACTGCTTATAGCTAAGATCTTATTTTTACCTTCTTTAAGAATAGAATTTTTTTTGGCACTGCTTATATCTGTCTTATTCTTATCTTTCTTGAATATTAGATTTTTTTGGTGCTATTTATAATTTTGATCTTATTCTTAACTTCTTAAGCATTGGCTCTTTTTTTTGACACTACTTATAGCTATAATCTTGTTCTTATCTCCCTTAAGCATTAAATTTCTTTTGAAGCTGTGTATAGCTGTGATCTTATTCTTACCTCTCTTAAATATTAGATTTTTCTTTAATACTGCTTATAACTGTAGGTTCTTATTTTTCTTGAGTATTTAATCTTTTTTGGTGTATTTATAGCTTTGATCTTATTCTTACCTCTCTTAAACATTAGCTCTTTTTTTTGGCACTGCTTATAACTTTGATTTTGTTCTTACCTCTTTTAAGTATTAGATTTTTTTGGCATTATTTATAACTCTGGTCTTGTTTTACCTTTCTTAAGTGTTGGCTTTTTCTTTGATATATTTATAGCTCTAATCTTGTTCTTACTTACCTTAAGTATTGGCTCTTTTCTTTGTTGCTGCTTAGAACTCTGGTCTTGTTTTTGTATTACCTTTTTTTTTAATGCTGTTTATAATTCTGGTTTAGTTTTATCTATCTTAAGCATTGAATCTTTTCTTTGGCACTGTTTATAATTCTGGTCTTGGCTCTTTTTTTGGTGCTGCTTATTATTCTGATCTGGTTTTACCTACTTTAAGTATTAGATCTTTTCTTTGATACTGCTTATAATTCTGGTTTTAGCTTTTTTTTGGCACTGCATATAACTCTGGTTTGGTTTTACCTATCTTAAGTATTGGGTTTTTTCTTTGACACTGCTTATAATTCTAGTCTTTGCTTTTTTTTTGGTACTGCTTATTACTGTGGTCTGATTTTATCTATATTAAGTATTAGATCTTTTTTTTGATACTGCTTATAATTTTAATTTTGGCTTTTTTTTTTGGTATTGCATATAACTATAGTTTGGTTTTACCATTTTAAGTGATGCTGCTTATAATTCTGGTCTTAGCTCTTTTTTTTGATGCTGCTTATTACTCTAGTTTGATTTTATCTACTTTAAGCATTAGATCTTTTCTTTGGCACTACTTATAATTTTGGGCTTGGCTTTTTTTTTGGTATTGCTTATTATTTTGGTCTGGTTTTATCTACTTTAAGCATTGAATTTTTTTTTAATACTTTTTATAATTCTGATCTTGGCTCTTTTTTTTAATGCTCTTATAACTCTGATTTGGTTTTATTTACCTTAAGCATTAGATCTTTTTTTTGATGCTGTTTATAAATTTGATTTTAGCTTTTTTTTAGCACTGCTTATAATTTGGTCTTGTTTTACTTATTTTAAGTATTGACTTTGTTTTTTAGCACTACTTTACTTTATAATCCTGATCTTGTTTTTAAAATAGAATATATATTTATTAGAAAATAACTAAGCTTACTTGGAGGAGAAATCTCCTGGTTAATCACATGATATGTGCATCAACGTAAATGTAACAGTAATAACAGGTTTGCAGAGTTTAATTATATATACAGGGTATATTGTACATATGTATATATGTACGTAATTATATTGTGTGTTATAAAAAGAAATAGTCAATTGTAGTTTTTGTGCAACACGATCATTATTTACTATTGCTATGCAATCAATATAAATAAAAGCAAACCTGCACGAACATAAATTTTTTTCTACCCGGCTACAAGAATATCTTAAGTAAATTTCTTCGCTAAATAATAGTACCTTTAAAATAGCTTTGTTTATATAAAGTATTTTTTTTGCGTGACTTATTCGTAAAAGCTTATAAAGATATTTCTACTTAAAAGTTGAATTTGCGATATTCACTTGTTAATTAATTAAGAAGTTGCGTATTTATGAAGTTAAGTATTTGAATTTCTAACTAATTACTTTTTACTTTATTTTTGGCAGAACTACCATCTCTTATAGCATTGCAAAATTACATAATAGTTACTTTACCTTTTTTTTTTTTATACACATAACCAAAGTTATATCCTTATTATTATCACCTGTGCCTCTTCCATCACCAAAAACTTTGTTGTATCTATTAGTTTAAAATTGCAATCTTCTGTCAGATTCTATTAAATAATTTGAGAAACTTAATTTTAAAAAAAGTTTTGTGCATATTAAACAGTTTGAACATTTTGTTATTATACTCTTATGGATTTACTGCAAAGTAATGAAGAGCAAAATCAGGTTTCTTTTGAAAATGAATTAGTTAAAACAGAGTCATCACCTGTAAATTTATCTTATGAATTTGAAGAGCAAAATTGGGATTCTTTTGAAAATGAATTAGTTGAAAAAGAGTCATCACCTGTAAATTTAACTTATGAATCTGAAGAGCAAAATTGGGTTTCTTTTAAAAATGAATTAGTTGAAAAAGAGTCATCACCTGTAAATTTATCTTATGAATCTGATGTGATTAAAATTTTTGATGATTCTTCTGATGAAGAAAATAAACCAATGCCAGCTATTTATAGTAGACAAACTTTTCAAATGTGGGATGATGCTGAAGCCTTTTTAAAACAATACGGATTGGGACAAGGTTTTAGTATTCGAAAAAGACGTACTGAGTTATGTCTTGAAGATGGTATACAAGTTTTGTGCAAAGTTAGTTGGGAATGTGGCTATGCTGGCAAATATAAGCCTAAAAAGGTTTTAAATCTGGAAAATCAAAAAAATTGTAAGTCAAAGAGTTCAGAATGTGAATGGTGAGTGAACTGTAATATGCCTAAGTCTTCTTCAGTTGTCACATTTACAACAGTTGTAAATTCACATAATCATCCAATATCGCCTGCACTATCAACCACAATTGCAAGTTATCGTAAGATTGATAAGGATATGTTAGAATTTGTTGATTTTTGTGTGACACATGGTATGACTGGAGCATGTAGCATAGGACAACTTCTTAAGAGCAAATTTCTGGATCAAAAAATATATCAAAAAAATCTATATAACGCAATACAAAATGCCAAAAAAAAATTGTCTTTTAAAAATGAATTGGATGCATCTAATCTTCTATCATACCTATATAACCTCAAGACTGATGACCCAAGATGGTTCATAGAAGCATGATTTGATGGTCCAGAATAAAGATTGTGCAGCCTTATTTGGCTTTCTCCGGAATAACAATTTATTTGGACAAGGTTTCATGATATCATTTTTTTTGATACCACATCACGTACTAATAAGTATGATATAGTTGTATGTTTTTTTGTAGCCATTAACAATTGTAATCGTACTCGTCTGGTTGCAGCCGCTTTGTTAGAAGATGAAACTGAAGACAGTTTTACCTGGGCTCTTAGTATGATCAACAAATGTACTGGTAACTTGGCTCCATGGGTGGTTTATACTGATTCCGACTCTGCAATGTCAAATACAATTTTTACCAAATTTCCAAACTCTTTGCATTATTTATGTTGTTTTATATTGACCTTAACCTAAAAAAAAACTTGAGGAATAAGATAGGTACTGTTCAATTCAATGAATTCTGTAAGGAGTTTTACACATGTTGAAATAAGCTGGTGGTTGATATTTTTGAAAATAGATTTGAGTCTTTCAAGTCAACATATCCAGTTGCTACCAGTTATATTAGACACCAGCTTGAATCTAATAAAATGAAATGGGCTATTTGCTACATCAACAATCAATTTACCACTGGAGCAAATAGTACACAGCGAGTTGAAGGTTTTAATAAAAAAATCCACAATAGTATTAGGGCAAATTCTTCTTTAATTACTTTAGTTAAAGAAATTCAGGATGTGCTTGATAGAGAAGTGGAATATGCTCGGGTAGAGGAATACAAGCATCAAATACTAACTGTCAGACTTGCAACTATACCAAAAGTCTTTTTTAAATCTTTGGATCCCATTGTAAATGAATACCTTATAGAACCAGTGTCAATAAATGTTCGTAAACAAATGCATGAATGTTTTTTTTATGATGCCTATAAACTTGATATTACTGATTGGAGCTCAATTGAAAGGGTAAGTCATTTAGTCACTTAAGTAAATTGCAGTTAAAGAGTAATAATCGTTAAGTATATCACAAGTTATTAGCATTTTTCTCTTTCATAATTATATTTTTTTTCATTTAGATACACTCAGATGATAATATAAACAATGGAGCACGTGAAGATGACTATAAATTGACGCAAATTTTATTAACCAACATTTTAAAAACAATTGAAAGCTCTAAGATCCTTGAAATTTGGCATCTTAATTTTTTATGCAGTACAAAATATCATTTTGTGGTATTAATTTTAGATGGTTTATACAGATGTACATGTAATATATTAATTACACATAGTTATCCATACTGTCATTTTTACAAGGTTCTTCGAACTTCTTCACATGCCCAATGGCATATCAGTCTGGTATCAAAACTGTGGTATAGAGATAATAAGATTAAGAACAACCAAGATCTTTTAACACAGCATGAACCTATCTTATTGTATATGGAATCATCATCTGTTAATTATGTTACTACTAATTCAATGTTCAATCTCGAACATTTAATGCAATTTCAGGGGGATGAGTTATATACACCAGTACTTCAGAATATCAATAATACCTGATCGAGATATGGTTATGCATATAGATTGATGAAAAAAGCTATTGACGTTGCTATTAGCACCAACTTATATAATGAGTTAATTGGATTATGCCAACAATTTCTTTCTAGCAAACAATTAAATAAGGATAACAAAGATAAAACAATCACAATCACAAATCACATTTTCTCTCCTAGAAAAGGAAGACCTCCCGGTAGAGCAAAAAGTTCTATTAAAATCCAAGAATCATATACAAGAAAACGTCAACGTACTGATACTAATATCCAGTCATCTAATATAACTTTACAATCTGGTGAACCAATTCAAGATAATAGAAAAAGATGTCAAAAATGTGGCCAAAAGGGACATAATCGAGCTATCTGTAAATCAGAAAATGAATCTTAATGCGTAACTATGTATTAGATAACAATTGACAATGTTATAGCTTAGATTTTATGTTGGTTTACGATGTATTTGGTTCAAACTATAAAATGTAATATGCATATATGGTTGACTCTGAATTTTTTTATTGTTTTAATTTACATTGTTTTTTTTGTTAGCTTAGATTAACTTATATATTAACTGTCACAGATTAAAATGAAATCTGATCAAAATGAAACTGGGGACCTCTCATACTCACCCTTAGAGCCTATAAAACCCACATATACTCATTTATT